TTTTTTAAAAGATACACAACATGGCATACGCAACATTACATTAGACAACTGGTAGGGCTATATTAATATCAGACAAAGTAGACCTCAAGAAAATGATTATTACCTGAGATAAAAAGGGACATTTATTAATACAAGTTAATTAATCAAAATATTAACTAACATTTAATATTACAGTCAAAAAGCACACTCTTTATGATTTTAATATGTTGGAATTTATTTATTTATTTTTATTTTCAAGACAGAGTCTCACTCTGTTGCCCAGGCTGGAGTACAGTGGCATAATCTCAGTTCACTGTAACTTCCTCCTCCCAGGTTCAAGCAATTGTTGTGCCTCAGCCTCCTGAGTAGCTGGGATTATAGGCATCTGCCACCACGCCTGGCTAGTTTTTTTTTTTTTTTTTTTTTTTTTTGTATTTTTAGTAGAGATGGGGTTTTACCATGTTGGCCAGGCTGGTCTTGAACTTCTGACCTCAGGTGATCTGCCCGCCTCAGACTCCCAAAGTGCTGGGATTACAGGCATAAGCCACCGTGCCCAGCCTGCCAAATTTATTTATTTATTGAGACTTGTGTTTATAGCCCAGCATATGGTCTACCTTGGTGAATGTTCCATGTTCATTTGAAAAGAATGTGTATTCTTGCTACTGCTTAGTATGATGTTCTTTCTATAAATATCATCTAGGTCAAGTTAATAATGTTCAAGTCTTCTTTATCCTTTTTGATTTTTTGATAGCTTATTGCTGATTATTGTTCTATTTATTACTGGACAAGGGTTGTTAAAATCTCCAAGTATTACTGTGAATTTGTTAAGTTCTCCTTTTAGAAAGTTCTATTTTTGCTTCATGTATTTTACAGCTTTGTTATTAGGTACATGCATATTTAAGACTGCTGTGTCATCTTGATGAATTAGCTCTTATCATTATTAAATGCCCCTCTTTATCTCTATAATAATAGTTTCAGTGAAGTCTACTTTGTTTATTAATACATATAGCCCCCCTCCAGCTTTCTCATGCAATGTTTGCATGGTGTACTTTTTTTTTATGTTAATCTATGTGTTTCTTTATATTTAAAGTGCTTCTCTTATAAACAGTGCATTGTTGGGCCCTACTTTTTTTAATCCAAGTTAATAGTCTGCTTTTTAATTGGAGCCCATTTACATTTATTGTAAGTATTGATATGGTTGGGTTTAAATATGCCATCTTGGTATTTGTTTTCTATTCATCCTATTTGTTTTTTATTCCTTTGTTCTTCCTTTCTTCCCTTCTTTTGGGTGAATGGAATATTTTAAACTGTACCTCTTATAAGTAAAAATACTACTTATTCACATAGTTTTAGTATACAAATAATATCTGAGTTAAACTGGTATTCAAATTAGAGTATGCCAAAAGAGAGCTAAGAGAAGATACATAAGGGATTGGGCCATTCTGGTGGCGGAAACCAACTTTTTCTACCAGAATTCTATTTGGGGCTGCCCCTGCCCTTCTTTTCCCATCACAAAATTGAACCATGACCTAGCAAACCTTAGGCTAACATGGTAGTAATAATACAAAGCACATATTCGTTAATCACTGCAGTTAATATAATTGGATAGCTACCTGTATATTGTCACATTCTTCTGTTGCTTTCTTCTCACTGAAAGGATCTTAGGATCCACCCTGGAAAATATGAAGTAACGTCCATCCAATTAGGTTTATATCAGACAAATACCATTTTTTATGTATCAGACAATTCATGAGCAGCTTGGTGCTGTCTCTAGAATCTTGCAATTTAAGTGAGAAGGCATTTATATAATTGTATTATGTATTTATATTATATAGTCTCATATGCATTTATTATATAGTTATGTAATTAAAAGATAAATAGCAAGGCAAGGCTGTGTGTAACTTTTACAGATGAATAAATGAAATAAAGATGTTTGTGTTGTTAATTAAAGAAACAGGCTGGGTGCAGTAGCCCATGCCTATAATCCTAGCACTTTGGGAGGCTGAAGTGGGCTGATTGCCTGAGCTCAGGAGTTCGAGATCAGCCTAGACAACATGGTAAAACCCCGCCTCTACTAAAATACAAAAAATTAGTGAGGCGTGGCAGCATGCACCTGTAATCCCAGCTACTCAGGAGGTTGAGGCAGGAAAATTGCTTGAACCCAGAAGGCAGAGGTTGCAGTGAGCCGAGATTGCACCACTGCAAATGCACTCACTCCAGCCTGGGTGACAAAGCAAGACTCTGTTTCAAAAAAAAAAAAAAAGAAAGAAAGAAAGAAACAGCTGCCTAAGTAGGGAAATTGCCACATATTTAGACCCTGGCGATACCATGCTTTCTCCACAGGCTAACAGCCTGCAAGGTTCAAATTTCTCTGACATTTTCCTGAATTGGCTAATATTCAATCTGGTTGTATCTTTTTGTCTGTCTCTACAGAGGCTCTTGGTCATTTATAGTGAGAGAAACTCTTACTTTTTCCCCCCTCACTCTTCTGTATATAGATGGTTATAGATAAGTATCACATGATTATTTAAAGGATTGAAATTCCATTTTGATTTGCCTTTCCTGGGTAGGAAACGTTTATATCATTTTATACTTTTGAGCATGAATTGCCTCTCTTTCTAGGTGTAATCAATTTCTACTCTTCAGCATACAGAAGATTTTATGAATACTATTCACTGCAGAAAGAGCTCTAAAAATAATTTTGCACGTAGGGTTTGTGGAACACTGATGATCTTATGTGAAACATTGGCAGGCAAAAAGAACAAAGGCACATCAGGGTAAAGGTGGTAGTAGGCAGAGCATTTCATTTCTTTTGCCTCCACCAAAGGAGAATTTGCATTTACTGGAGAAGGAAAACAAGTAAACGGGAGCATCTGCACTAGCTGTTGAAGGTTTCATTTCTCATCACTGTTAGTCACATTTGAATGGAACCATTACACTCTTGTTGGTATGTACAACTATGCCCTCACTTTTTTTTTTCCAAAAGGAAAATCTTGAGTTTTATTTTTAAAAGTACAAAGAGCTGTATTTGACATTCTGCAGTTCATTTTGGAATTGACAGTCTTAAACCTGTTCATTTTCAGTAGGGTGGTAGAGAGTGTACAGTATATGGCATTTTTACACCTAATAGCACCTCCAGTAATCTGTGATGCATATTACATACACACACCTTTTAGCACCTGTTTCCACCTGACAGCTGACAGCATTAGGCTGAATGTTGTGATGAACAACTGAAATGTCGAGCAGTATTACAGTGGTTTCTTATTGGAAAAAGTAAGTCCCTTAGAGCTTTTTTTAAATACTTTTCCATCAAGATTTTAAAGTGACATATTTACAAGTACATAATTAAGATGACATACTCTTTAACTGTTGGTTATTCTTCTAGAAATGGAGATGGATTTGGGCTAATCAGCAGATGATTATTCTCTTGAGCTAGGGTGTAAGCATGCTTTTTTTTTTTTTTTTTTTTTTGTAAGACAGGGTCTTGCTCTGTTACCCAGGCTAGAATGCATTGGCCCAATCATGTCTCCATGTCTCACTACAGCCTCGACCTCTGGGCTCAGCCTCTCTTGTAGCTGGAACCACAGATGTGCACCACCACCCCTGACTAATTTTTTTTATTGTTTTGTAAGAGACAGGGTCTCATTCACTATGTTGTCCAGGCTGGTCTCGAACTCTTGAATTCAAGCAACTGTATCCCCCTTGGCCTCCCAGAGTGTTGGGATTATAGGCGTGAGCCACTACACCCGATGGCCTTAAGCGTGCATTTTTGTTTTGTTTTGTCTTGTTTTGAGACAGAGTCTCCTTCTGTTGCCCAGGCTGGAGTGCAGTGACATGATCTCGGCTACTGCAATCTCCTCCTCCTGGGTTCAAGTGATTCTCTTGCCTCAGCCCCCAAGTACCTGGGATTACAGGAACTCACCATCACGCCCAGACATTTTTTGTATTTTTTTTTTTTTTTTTTTTTTTTTTTTTTTTTTTTATTGAGATGGAGTTTCGCCCTTGTTACCCAGGCTGGAGTGCAATGGCGCGATCTCGGCTCACCGCAACCTCCGCCTCCTGGGTTCAGGCAATTCTCCTGCCTCAGCCTCCTGAGTAGCTGGGATTACAGGCACGCAACACCATGCCCAGCTCATTTTTTGGAGTTTTAGTAGAGACGGGGTTTCACCTTGTTGACCAGGATGGTCTCGATCTCTTGACCTCGTGATCCACCCGCCTCGGCCTCCCAAAGTGCTGGGATTACAGGCTTGAGCCACCGCGCCCGGCCCCATTTTTTGTATTTTTAGTAGAGATGGGGTTTCCCTACGTTGGCCAGGCTGGTCTCAAACTCCTGACCTCAAGTGATCCACCTGCCTCAGCCTCCCAAAGTACTGGGATTATAGGCGTGAGCCACTGTGCCCAGCAAACCATGCATTTTGTTCAGGGAAATCTATTTTGCATCCGTATTACTGACTATTCTTAGAAATATATGTATACAGGATTGTTAGAATTAAGAATTGCTAAAATTCTGTCTTAGTATAATATTTATTTATTTGACTGATTTTCAGATTATTCAGTTCAGCACAGAGAATGAGATTTATAGGTTTGTTTTCTTATTCTTCTGCCACACTTGGGATTTTGGTCTAATGGTCACAAAATATTTCCTAGAAAAATGTTTTCCTAGAATTAGCCCCCCAAAAATAAAATTACTTAAAAAAAAAACTCTTTTTAGTACACAAAATTCAGATTTTGGACTTAAATGCTTTGGTCATATGCTAAAAATTAAATAAGCAAATAAAATATCTAACAAAGCAAAGCTGGTCAACGCTATGGCTTTCAAAAAAATTCCAGCCAGCGTTGCCCATCCTAAATACTTCTTTCCCATCTCTTGGCCTGAATATACTTCAGGAGAGAAGCTGTTACACTCAACTTTCATTAAAAAGTTTCTAGTTTTCATGTGCTTTAGAACCAGATTTTGGTTATTAGATAAACAATATACTGTTTAATCTATGTTGACTAATTAATCATTTATAACTTTTCAGGTGCTGCTTAGGATGAATATGATTTGGAGAAATTCCACTTCTTGTCTAAGGCTAGGAAAGGTGCCACAGAGATACCAAAGTGGTTACCACCCAGTGGTTCCTCTGGGATCAAGAATTTTAACTGATCCAGCCAAAGTTTTTGAACATAACATGTGGTGAGTTTTCTTTTTAAGCCTTATATTATGTGTGTTTCTTAAGTATCACCAGTCGTATTACTTTCATTTAGAACTAAGAAAGGATTTTTAAAGCTGATGATCTAACTCATGTTATAGAGGTCCAAAAGCTAGGATAACCGATCCTAACTTAAATGTTGCTGATTCTGAATTTCATTGCAAATGGAATTGGAAAAGCGAAACTTCCCATGTGCTTTTAGTAGCTTTGGAGTTCTTGTAGGTCCTTCATGCTTACCTCTGATCCTGATCTGCCAGCTGTCAATGGATGGGGGTGAGGACTCTTTCCTAGGTGAGGCCCTCCTCCTGCTCCACAGTCCTTTCCTTCTTTTTCATACTTGTTAACCAGCAAATATGTGTTGCCACCTGTAGCTTACTGAGCACCAAGGAGATCACATTGATATGATTCTTGTCCATGCTTTTAGGAAATCCACACTATTTGGAAAGATAGATATTTATAGAAAAAGCTGATGATTACCCATACAAGGCAGTAAGTTGTGAGTGCTCAGTGAGTGTTACAGGCCATATGCCACATGAGAACAACTCAGTAATGCAAAACCACTTCTGTTTGGGCATAGTCGTGAAGATTTCTTAAAGTGAGGGAAAACTGAGATTAGGATTACATACAGGCATACCTCATAAATGTTGTGGGATTTGTTGAGACCACTGCAATAAAGCAAATTTTGCAATAAAGTGAGTCACACCCTTTTTTTGGTTTCCCAGTGCACGTATGTTTACACTATGCTGTAGTCTCTTCAGTTTACAATAGCATTATGTCTAAGAAACCAATGTACAAACCTAATTAAAAAGTAATTTGTTGCTAAAAAATGCTAACAGTCACCTGAGCCTTCAGTGAGTCATAAGCTTTTTGTTGGCAGAGATTCTTACCTCAGTGTTGATGGCTGCTGACTGATGAGGGTGGTGCTTAGAGTGGCTATGGCAGTTTCTTAAGAAAACAATGGAGTTTCCCTCATCAGCTGACTCTTCCTTTCATGAAAGATTTTTCTGTAGCATGTGATGCTGTTTGATAGCATTTTACCTACAGTATAACTTTCAAAATAAGGCAGTCCTCTCGGATCCTGCCACTGTTTTATCAACTAAGTATATGTAATATTCTAAATATCCTTTGTTGTAATTTCCACAATATACACAGTGTCTTTACCCCCAGTAGATTCCATCTTAAGAAACTACTTTCTTTGCTCATCCCTACAGAGGAACTCCTCATCTGTTCAAGCTTTATCATGAGATTGCAGCAATTCAGTCACATCTTTAGGCCCCACTTTTAATTCTAGTTCTCTTGCTGTTTCCACCATATCTGCAGTTACTTTTTCCACTGAAGTCTTGAAGCCCTCGGAGTCATTCATGAGGGTTAGAATCAACTTCCAAAATCCCATTGATGTTATTATTTTGACCGCCTCCCATGAGTCACAAATGTTCTTAATGGCATGTAGATTGGCGAATCCTTTCCAGAATGTTTTCAGTTCACTTTGCCCAAATCCGTTGGAGGAATTATTATTTATGGCAGCTATAGCTTTATGAAATGTAGTTCCTAAATAAGTCTTAAAAGTTGAAATTACTCCTTGATCCATGGGATGCAGAATAGATATTTTGTTAGGCATGAAAACAACATTAATACCCTTACACATTTCCATCAGACTCTGGGGTGACAAGGTATATTGTCAGCGAGCAGTAGTATTTTGCAATTCCTTTTTCTGAGCATTAGGTCTCAACAGTGGGCTTAAAACATTCAGTAAACCATGCTACAAACAAATGTATTGTCATCCAGGCTTTGTTGTTTCATTTATAGAGTACAGGCAGAGTAGATTCTGCATAATTTTTAAGGGCCCTAGGATTTTGGAATGGTAAAAAGCACTGGATTCAGCTTAAAGTCACCAACTGCATTAGCCCCTAACAAGAGAGTCAGCCTGTCCTTTGAAGCTTTGAAGCCAGGCATTCACTTCTCCTTTCTGGCCATAAAAGACTTAGATGACATCTTCCAATAGAAAGCTGTTTTATTTACATTGAAAATTTGTTTTTTAGTGTAACCACCTTCATCAGTGATCTTAGCTGGATCTGGATAACTTGATGCTACAGCTTCTCCATCAGCACTTAGTGGTTTGCTTTGCAATTTTATGCTATGGAGATGGCTTCTTTCCTTAAACCTTATGAACCAACCTCCACTAGCTTCACTTTTCTTCTGCAGCTACATCATCTCTCTGAGCCTTCATAGAATCAAAGAAAGTTAGGGCCTTGCTCTGGATTAGGCTTTGGTTTATGGGAATATTGTGGCTGGTTTTATCTTTTATGTAGACCACTAAAACTTTCTCCATATCAGCAATACTATTTCACTTTCTTTTCATTCTGTATTCACTGGAGTAGCATCTTTTTTTTTTAGAGAGGGAGACTCTGTCACCCAAGCTGGAGTGCAGTGGTATGGTCACAATTCACTGTGGCCTCAACCTCCTGGGTCAAGTAATTCTATGGCCTCAGCCTCCCAAGTAGCTGGGACTATAGGCATACACCACCGTGCCTGGCTAATTTTTTGTATTTTTTACAGATTGGGGTTTCACCATGTTGCCTAAGCTGGTCTTGAACTCCTGAGCTCAAGTGATCTTCCCAGCCCAGGTTTCCAAAGTGCTGGGATTACAGGCATGAGCCACTGCACTCAGCCTGGAGTAGCATCTTTGATTTCCTTTAAGAACTTTCCTTTGCATTTCACAAGTTGACTGGTGCAAGAGGCGTAGGTTTTGGCCTGTCTCCGCTTATAATCGGCCTTCCTTACTAAGCTTAATCTTTTCTAGCTTTTACTTTAAAGTGAGATATATATAACTCTTCCTTTCACTTGAACACATCGAGGCCATTGTAGGGTAACAACTGGCCTCATTTTAATATTTTTGTGTCTCAGGGAATAGGGGAGCCTGAGGAGAGGGAAAGAGACAGGGAAAGCCAGGTCAGTGGAGCAGTCAGAACACACATAACATTTATCAATTAAGTTTGCTGTTTTATATGGGTGTGGTTCATGGTGCTCTAAAACCATTACAATAGTAACATCAAAGATCACTGATCACAGATCATAACAGATATAATAATAATGAAACAGTTGGAAATATTACAAGAATTACCGAAATGTAACAGAGACGTGAAGTGAGCACATGCTGTTGGAAAAATGGTGCCGATAGACTTGTTCAATGCAGGGTTGCCACAAACCTTCAATTTGTAAAAAATGCAGTAACTATAAAGAGTGATAATGCAAAGCACAATTATACAAGGTATGCCTCTATTTACATTGCCTTCAGTACATAGCACAATGCCTGACACATAAATATTTGTTGAATTAATGTTTTGACTAGGTAAACTGAAATAAAGGCATTCTAGGTGGATAGAAAATCATAAAGCACTGAGATGAGGAAATGTTAGGTATTTTCAGGAGACAGGGCACAGGATAGTTTGCCTTAAGAAAGGCTTTTCTAGGAGACTGGTGAAAGATAAGGTTGGAATGACATAGGCCAGATGAGGGGGAGGGGGAGGTTTAATATTGTGCATGGTCCTGAATTCATAGCTGAAGTATAAGGTACTATAGAGCCACTGAAGATAAATGACATTATACTTAGTGTATTAAGTGTATGTATTTGGTAACACCATACTAGACTGATCAGCAGGGAGATTAGAAGCAGGAAAGGGCCAGTGAGCAAGAGATCATGACAGAAGAATAAATAGAACTTGGTGCTTGTGCAGAGTAAAGGAAAAGGAAGAAGTTGACTCTGAAGTTTTGATCTTAAGTAACTGATAGAAATAGGAAAATCAAGAGGTAAATTTGTTTGTTTTATTTTGGAAGAAAGATGGCATTTAGACATTTTGAATAGGCTTTGTGAGCAGGACATTCAGGTGTGAATGTCCAGCACATAGACACTGCTGCTGGGGAAAGGGAGAGTGGCCAGAACTAAAGAAGTCAAGTTGGATATGAATCTGCAGACAAAATTGTTATCAGACTAGCCTCTGGAACAGCATCTCTGGAGCTAGGAAAGTGATTCATGGGCTTTTTATGTTTTTATTGCAACTGAATCTCAATTTTGAAAGGGAATACATTGACTTTAATTACTTAGTTCTACACTGTACAGTATGGTAGCCACTAGCCACATGTGGTTATTGAGCACTTGAAATACATTACTAACTGGGTTGAATTGAGATGTGCTGTAAGATTTTTAAAACTTAGTACAAAAAATAAGATAAACAATCTCATTAATAATTTTTATATTGAATTATACATTAAAATGTGTGGATATTTGGATATATGCTGTTAAATTTTATATATGCACACACACACATACATATATATACAGACATGTGTGTGTGTGTGTGTGTGTGTGACACACACATCTGGCCTGTGTCATTCCAACCTTATCTTTCACCAGTCTCCTAGAAAAGCCTTTCTTAAGGCAAACTATCCTGTGCCCTGTCTCCTGAAAATACCTAACATTTCCTCATCTCAGTGCTTTATGATTTTCTATCCACCTAGAATGCCTTTATTTCAGTTTACCTAGTCAAAACATTAATTCAACAAATATTTGTGTGTCAGGCATTGTGCTATGTACTGAAGGTAATGTAAATAGAGGCATACCTTATATAATTGTGCTTTGCATTATCACTGTACAGTTACTGTAAAGTAACTTTACAGTTACTTTACAAATATATATATAAATATATATTTGTGTGTGTGTGTGTGTGTGTATATATATATATATATATTTTTTTTTTTTTTTAAACAGTCTCACTCTGTCACCCTGGCAGGAGTACAGTGATGCAATCTCAGCTCACTGCAACCTCTGCTTCCCAGGTTCAAGCAATTCTCCTGCCTCAGCCTCTTGAGTAGCTGGAATTATAAGCATGCACCACTGAAATGGGAAACGTTCCCATATCCCCTTCGCAGGGCGTGCAGTCGGGGTGTGGCTCGCTTCTTCAGTGCCCCGCTGCTCAAATCTCTAGGG